TGGGAGCCCCCAGGAAATGCCAGGCCAGTTACCACCCTGGTGAAAGGTAAGTAGGGGTGCCTAAACCCGAGCCCTCACCTTCGGGTGAGCCATATACCATCAGAGCAGGGTAGGTCAGGTAAGCTTCTGGAGGCACCTGAGCCTGCTGGGGGAGTGACCCCACAGGGCCAGGCATGCTTCCAGGAGGACCTGAGCCGGGAATAGGGGACCCCAATCCCTAAGTGAAGCCAGGAGGCAAAAACCCAACTGAGGCACTCAACTGGTCAATGCAGTTGATGCAATTCTGGGTGTTTTTAATTAGTGCAGCTCACTAATTAAAAGCACCTGGCACTGCATTGGGAGTATATAAAAATGCCCCTGATGTCCAGATACTTTAAAGACATACTAGATTGATAGTCAAAATGTGAGAGATGGCAGCTACTATTTTTTTGTGTTAGAGTAGTTCTTAGAAGCTCCTATCAAGATCTATGCCTCTTGTAACTATTCAAATGACTAGTTAGAGGAAAGATTGTACCTGGAAACATTCACACTCTGAATAAACCAGAAGGAAAAAAGGAAGTGTCTTATCCCATTTCACACATGAGAAAATGAGAGACAAAGGCCTGCATCCAAGGACAAATTGCTCATTCTGAAATGACTCAGTTGCCTAGAGCAATAGGTTACAGAGTCATGCCCCATCTCTCTTTGGCTCAATTAGTCTTGAATTCTTTTCTGTGCAATGGTACAGTTTCAACAGAAGGGGTGGTGGACCAGTAACTCCCATCTCTCCCACCCACAAAATAGTATTTAGAATGTTGTTAGGAGGGAAGAGCTATGGTTTTGAACCCCCTCAGGGCTATCTAGGGTTGGGTGACCCTTTGATTTGTTGTATTGTTTTAAGATTTTCTATAAATCAAATCCAGGTGGTCTCAACTGAATTCACTGGGGTTACAGCTATATAAAATGTAGGAAGGATTTGTTCTCTTGAGGTTAAAGACCTAAAATGAGTACAGGTGTTAAATTACATCACAGCTGGAAGAAAATTATTTAATATGGGAATAATTATGTCTGCTAAAAGTAAGTTTCTTCACATAGTATAAATGTACCTTGCACACTTAATTAAAAGTGGTGAGTTTTCCATCTCCTATAATTAATATAAAAATATAAGCGATTATTTATACTTCTTGAGAACTACTCTTCTTCATCTACTCAGCATAAATTAGTGGGGAAATGTAAATACATCTGTACAGTAGGTTAGCATGCTAATGAAAGTAAAGGATGATGAAATATAGAGCTTATATTTTAAGCTCTATGTGAATCAAAGGATGTACATACAAAAACATTTGTGTTTGTCCATAGTTCCAAGGACATATAGGGATCCAACTTGTTACCATATCACGATGGTTCTAACTTAGTTCTGAACATAGACTGCAGAGGTCTGACTAACCAAGGCTAGCCCACCCACCTGGTGCAGATATGAGGATGGGATTTGAGGAAGACAACAACATCCTCCCATCCTAACATTCTTTTAGCAACAGGCAGCACCATCCTGACATACAGGGCTGTACCATATGTGCCACTTTAATGCAAAACTGGAGCGTTGCCTTAACCCAAAACTGTGTCTAAGTTCAGTGGCATCAGTCTTGGAAATACTTATTCATAAGTAGTGTTTGCAGTATCATGACCCTGAGAAAAGGTGGAAGAGGGAATAATTGGAGAATGAGGTAATTGCTATAAATAATCTAAACTTAGTTATCATATGAAGGAACATAAAAAACATAATGTATACCTATTTTTCCTCATTTACTTAAATGTAAATCAAGAGTAACTCTTCTAGACTCAATGGGCGCATACACACATGCAAGCATGTGTGCTTGCAGCAGCTCAAATAGAAGTGGTGCAAATTTGAGTGGGGCTTTTTGCCTAAGTGCAAATAGGGGCAAAATAGCCTGGCTTCTCATGGATCTGCAGCCAGGGGGAGCTGCCGCCTGGGGCTAGCACCTGTGCTGTTCCCAGCCATATAAAAAGCTTCCCTGTTCTGGCCCCATCAGTACAAAAAGCTGCCCTGTCCAGTAGCTCAGGGCTACTTGGTCTCAGGAGCTTCTTGGGCCCAGCCAATTGGTACCTGGGGACACTATGCCTTGTGCCAGCTGGACTGCTGCAGCAGCCCGGAGAGTTCCCTGCACCCTCTACCCACTGCAGCAGCCTGGCATTGGGGGCTGCTGCCTGTCTGTGACCTGATGCACACCTGCCAGACCTGGATGGAGACTGCACGGCCAGTAGAGGCATCCATCCCTCTGGGCCAGCTGTCAGTGGGCTGTGGCTGCAGAGTTGGCCTTTGTGCGGCACTACTGCCATGTGTGCCCTCTGCCTGGCCACCTGGGCAGCTATCTCCCGGAAGATGTTTTGGGTGTAGTGGCCTGCTTTGAAGTGTCAAAGCATGTCCTCCTGGCTCCAATTGGCCAGGAAGTCAGCCACAGCCAGTTGGGTCCAAGGTGCCAGCTCTGAGTAGGCACGGTCTCATTGCCACTGGCCTCCCTAGCATGAATTCTGGTGTTCCCTATTGGAAAACCGAAAAATGCCTGATAAAAAAAATCCCAAAATCACTCTGTAAGATACCCCATAATCCATGTTCCTCCACAATTAAAACAAAAGACCACTAGGGAGAGTGAGACAGAGAGACAGCAATCAGTTGGACAATGTTTTATTGATATATCTACAGTGTTAAAGCAATTTGGAAGACTACCAGCGTCTCTATCATCATAATAAAGTGAATTCTAAATACATATTTCATGAATTCATGACTACATGAATATGTTTTGCTGCCACCCACAGGGGCTGTGCTCCCCCCAACAGGGTCTATGCCCTCCCACAGGGGTTACAGTCCCTCCCACAGGGACTACAGACCTCCCTGCAGGGCCCCAGCTCCCATTTGGACTCCCAGCCCCTGATGGCTGCCCCCTCCCCCCCCAGCCTCTGGCACTTAAAAAATAAAAATGAAAAGCCTCTACTCACTCAGCTGGGGCTGTGCAGTCTGCGGGGCCTCCTAGGAGAGCCCCCCTGGGCAGCAGGGGGGCAGCAGGGCCCCAGCTGGAGCTGCTGGATCTGTCACCCTGCCCTGCACTGTGTGTGGGCGGGGGCTGCAGTGACCCAGACAGCAGCTGTACTGCCAGTAAGTGCTGAGGGTTTTTTTCCCTCTGGATGCAGGGTTGGGGGGGGGACAGTGATTTGTGG